GGAGGGTTGCCCGTACCCACAGTGCCCGGTTTTGTTCCTGCAGGGCTTACACCTACGCGGGGCTGGCGTACGGAGCAGAGTGCTACTGCGGGAACAAGCTCCCGGCCACCGCCTCGAAGCCCGAGGAGTGCAACAGCGAGTGCAAGGGGGAAAAGGGCTCCGTCTGCGGAGGGATGAACCGGCTCTCTGTCTACAGGGTGGAGGAGCTGCGGCCAGGAGCGAGACGACGTAAGTGGGCGCGCGACCCGGACGAGGAGCCGCTCTCCCCAGGAGCGATGCTCGCCCCGCAGGGGGATGCCACGGCCGGGCTCGGCACGTGGGCTGGTCCCATGGCTCTTGGTTCTTCGTTTGTCACTAGAGTTTAAAACAGCAAAGGATAAAGGTGCCTGTGGGGCACGGGGTCCATTTGCTGCTGGTCGGGTCCCCGGCTCCCTCCTCGAAATAGCAGCACAGCTCATCAGCACCGAGTGGCCCAGAACGCCTGCCTCTGGGCTGCCACATAGGAGTTAGTGCCACCAGGGGTGAAACAAAACAGTGCAGAGTGACTGCAACAGCAGCAGAATTTCAGCTGAAACACTGCTCCCCTTTGCATCCATCGCAGGGGTCAAACCCACACGGATTTAAGAATCAGCCCTGGAAGTGGGTGCCTTGTGACGGAAGGGCAGGAAAGCACTCGTATCAATGCCACCCTAAGCTCAGAAATGGTCCTAAACAAAGTATGTGCTACGTGACTGCAGCAGGAGAGTAAGGAGAGGCCAGAGAGGTGCACCAGTCTCTTTCCTGAATGAGAGAAATGAGGCCACAGAGTTTAGATCTGCCAAGGACTTCTGTTCTAGCCGCGATCGGGATTTTTGTTTCATCTTTAGATGACAACACTTAATCTCCTTGTCGTTCAGTTAGCTACCATGGGACATACAGTAGATAAACCTCTGGACCAAGACAAAGCACATAAAATATCTAAACAGCTGAGCAGTCTTTACTTTTGGCAAGCTCACAAGACCTTACAGATGTGATTTGCTGAGAAGAAGCACCAAGACCTTAGGTTGTGCCAGTATTGATGGTACTTCATTTCTTCTTAAAGACAAGTCAAGGTTTTTACAGTAATCCACCCAGCTACGTATAAATTATATATCAAAGGTGCATAGACCTAAATTGCTGGTGTCAGGCTGACAGGCACATTGGCAGGTTTCCCAGGACATGCATCACTGTTTAAATCTTCAGCATAAAATATATATAAGTATTTCACAGGAAAAGGCAGCATTTATTCTTTTCTTAAGTATTAATGAATTAGTCATCAAATTAGTCTAGCCTGGAGCTAGACTTGTATCTTGTTTGCCCTTAGTAATACCTGAAATTTGACTGTTTGAAGAATCCCACTGACATGAGCCAGCTGAGGGGGCAACAGAAGAATGAATCACGATGAACAAGTATATTGGAAAGTAACTCTGGACCTGTAACGGCATCTGTGATTCACGCTGCCCAGCACAGAGAGCAGACCTTGCCCAAGGCTCCTGCTTATGCAGAGCAGAACTAGTGGATCTCCGCTTAAACCTTCCCAGACGCGGGTTTGCTGGCTCCTTCGCCACCCCTTTCCCCCTCCCGCAGCTGCGCAGCACCTCTGCTGCAGGATGCGTGCCCTCACGTCACGTTAAATGCCATAAAGCTCAAAGTCTCCAGCTACTGCAGCCTGGGGACGACCGTGGCACGAGGTGCCCTTCTCCTCGGGGCAGGACTCAGCCGTCCCTCCCCAGAAGGCAGGGGATGGCAGCAGCATGGCCCCTTGGCACCGCGATCCGCAGGGAACCCCGCTCCTCGCCCAGTGCCGCTGGGGGCAGTTCAAGCCTTCTGCCAGACCTGCGGAGACAACTCTGAACGCCTTCATAAACATTTTGTTTCAGGAATTAAATGTTAGTGTGAGATTTAGTAAGCAGTCTTTGAAGAGTATCCTGAGAAGCCAAAAACCTTCTGTTCCTTTTAGTCTTTGGGGCTGTGCTCACAGGGACCTGGTCGCAGGGAGACTCCTGTTTCCCCCTAGCTTGCATTGAGCTATTTTATTTTCACAAAGATATAGCATTGCTTCTAGTAACTGGTTTGACCAGTTATTAAAACAATATTTAAACAGTTTTCCTTATATTGCTCTTGGCTCAGGCTGGAGAAGCTGGGCCCTTCTGCCAGAAAATTCACGCAGAACCAAATTTCTCCTTCCAAACTGCACTGCATCTCTCCTGTAACCCCACACATTCCCCACATCAGTCCTGCTGAGCGTTGTTTAAGGCAGCCAGTGGATGCAGACCACGACTCAGAAGACCCCACTTCATTCCCAAACCCACGTTCCTGCCTGCTGAATCACGCTGGGCAAATTCTGTTGGTAGAGAATTAGTACAGAGCGATGACGTAAAGGCAGTTTCCCCCTTTGTAAAGCCCACAGAACCCTAAGAACTGTGCAAGTGTCACACACTATGCAGACTTTTTTCTCTTCTGGCCAGCCACACAACATTATTTTTTTCATTGCCATTAGTTCATCCTTGCAAATGCACAGCCTCGCCAGGGGCAGCGAGTTTCGGTGACAGCTCTGGGGTTTCATTTGGTTCTGTCAGGGGACATTTCACTCTTCAGCAGGAGGAAACTGGTATTGCTGCTTGTAACAAGTACTTGGGCCAAATCCCGACTTCAGTCACAGCGATGCAAAAAACGGAGCAATTCTGCCAAGCTCTGCAGCGTTTACACAGGAGCAGGTGAGATCAGAGGCTGATGCTGAAGACTTGAGGAAAGCCGTTCTCCCCGAACAGCTTACAAAAGCCTAGTTTAGATTCCAAAGGCTGCAGCAAACTCCCTTGGCCCGAAAAGAAAGCGAGTGGGCCGAGGAGAGGGATAGCTCCGCAGATGTGCAGGAAGGTGCATCGCTGAGGGGCTTCCAGGACTCATTTCTATTCCTTTCCTCTTCTGGTGCTGATCACGGGCAGGCTTTGTAGATTTGTATCGGGGCTTTTAAGTCTTTCAGGGGAAAGCGTCTCTTCAAAAGAAAACTGGGACTTGCAAACAATAGCAATGCCCTCCACTGGTGGAATTTAATTTAAACTCTGTGCTGCAGCCCTACTTTCAGTGGTTTGTACAAAGCTAAAGGCATGTGCTCCTTTCAATACCACAGGATTTGCAACACATTTTTCTAGTGTATATCATGGTTTCTCTTATGTCTACAGCAGTTGGAATATAAAATTTATTTTATTATTTTTAGCTTCTGAACCTAATATTGTTCTTTGTGAAAGAGGTAGGATACTACGAACGTTGTTTTCTCAAGAGAAACCTATTTCATATCCCTGCAGGGAGGAATGTTATCTATCGAGGATGTTTTAGAGCTCCAGAAAATTTAACAGACACCTTTCCAGCCTCTTTGATACAGCCCAATTTGACGGTGGAGATGTGCTCTGAATTTTGCTCCAAGAAAGTAAGAACAGTTCTCATTTCACATCCTTTCTTCTTTTTTGTTATTTTGAATTTTAATCTGCTGAGGCAATAGCAGAGATTAGCGCCTTAGAAGCTTTGAATTTGTAAATGAGTTTCTAAAGGACAAAACTCATCAGAGTAAATACCCAGTGATGCGTCTGGTCCAGCCGCTCTCTCGAAGGGGGATGACGGGAGGGAAAGTCATCAGAGCGATGCCACGAAACATGACGCACAGAAAAGCCATCCTAAGTCACGAGTATCGACCATGAGGAAATCGATAGCACTTCCACGTCACATCCAAAGCAAGCCCAGAGCCAGACCCCAGCCCGGGGGAGGTCTCAGTGGCTGCAGCTCCTGGCGAGCCGCTGCCCGACAGCTCCTGGCGAGACGCTGCCAGAGGGCAGGTGTAGGCTGGCAGCACCCAAAATGGGGCTCCAGTGCCCTTGGGCAAGAGGATTTAATGACGAGTTATCTACACACACTTTTTACACCAGCGTGTAATATGTTGGGTAGGAACGTGATACCATCTTAAATATTAAGAAAAACAAAGCTGCCAGAGAAAAATTCTAGCAGATAAGGACACTGAAAGCAGGTAGACTTTCCTGGTACTTTTATACAAGTGTGTCTCTCTCCACACAAGGATTTATACCACTTTCACTATAACCTATGTAATTTAGATCTAATTTATTTTAATTTAAAGTGGAATCATTGTAGAACTTCATGCCAATATGTAAGGCTACAAGAAAGCAACAAATAACGTCAATTGTGTACTTACTGGCACACTTAGCCCAGCGTAAGACCATAGATGTAAGAACTGAAGGAGTTTGATAGACTTGGGCATCATCACGGGAGGGAAGATTTGGCCCAGGACACTCTCTGGTTTAGTGGCTATCGCTGCAGTTGGTTCCCTTCCCTTCCTCCCCACTCCAGTGGGGCTTTTTTTCTTTTTTGTCCAGGGGAGGGTTCACTGTGTGGTGAGATTTAGCCTGCAGCCACATTCAGCCTCATGCACTAAACTGAAGATTCAATTACTTTGTCTTCTAGCATCACAAAATTGATTAAAACTATTAAAGCATGAACAACAAATCTTCTTAATTACTAGGTAGAGTGGGAGAGCTTTTCCTAGCCAACACATCCTCTATACCAGCTCATCAGTGCTTTAAGAGTGCATCCCAGAATGAACTCCTTGCAGCACACTGCGGTGAATCACCCATTCACCCTGTATGTCGTACGTTAGAAACAGACACCTCACATCCTCTATCCATGTAAGTGTTCAGTAAAGTAGGACTTCATGAGCCATCATGTTCACTTTGGAGAGAAATTTCTCTCCATGATTAGCTCCCCATCTCTTATTCTTTTTGGTAGATCGAGAGAAAAATTTTAAATAATAGAATCAGTATAGAAAGTTGGAAAAGAAAGGAATTTAGCAGAGCAATCAGAGCGGAACCAGAAAAATGTATTTTTAATCTATTCATAATTCTTAATTTGTATACAATCTAATAAAAACCAGGGACTGAATCATCACATCGTCTGTTGCTATAGGAGAACAATTGCTTTCCTTACAGCGTTTAAACTACCTGTTGAGGCTTCACCTCACAAATTCTTAGGTAAATACTCCCATTGACATGAGCTCTCTCAGAGTTGCAGGACAGACATTCAGCCTGTCAGTGCATGCCCTAAAGCTCAATCCAGAAACACGCTTATTCACAGACTGCGGATTTCTCTGGCGATACTCCTGCATTTCACTGAAGCAAAGCACCACAGATCTGCGTGCGCCCAGCTTGAGGACTGGTCCCACACTTAAACGTTACGTGGTTGCTTAAAGCCGTAGCCAGAGCTTGGGGCATAAATACATACACAGGTGAGCAGGGCGGGTGGCTCGTAGTTTTGATTAAATACTGATGGGAAGGCACAACTGAATGCATTACTTTGCAATCACCGCGCGCTGCATCAGGCAGACAGACGGTCCGAACAATCAGCCAGCTGATTGCCGTGCTCCGCGCTGATGCTGCGCGTCCTGGTACGATTCTAGAACTTCTGCCGTGCTGCTTCCAGCGCGCATGCTGCCATCAGCGACACCCTGAAACTTCCACCTTGACACCTGCTCCCCGCTCCTCTCCTCCCTGCGACCGCTCGCTGCCCAAGTGGCAGGGGGGCTACGCTGGCACAGCCAGCCCGGGCACCCACCACGCTGCCGAGCGGCTCCCCGCGCCTCTGCCAGCATGGGCGTATGGAGAAGCTTTGCTCAGGTCTCTCTACCACAGCTGCAGCCTTCCAGAAAAGTCTAGTGCCACGTGCCATGAGGTAGAAACATGCATTTTTATTCTAGGCTGTGTTTGACAGCCAGGGCACATTAGTTTGTCAAACGGAGAAACACTGCTTTGTTGTAAAGGAAAAACTTCAGTTTGCAGGCGGAAACAGGACTATGTTGCCCTTGGATCAAATCTGCAAATAGTTTTTGACAGTGTCATATCTCATTCACTAAGCAAATGTTGGCTGTTTGGGCACAGATGGCACATGTGTTGTATTTGACTCCTTATCAGAGGATGAACACGTGGGAAAGAGCGATAGATAAGCTGCTCAGCAGTCTTGTCACGCATTCCCAGACTCAAAAGACTTTTAAAAGGCAAAAAGTGTTGATACGGAATAGGTGAATTGGACTCTGTACTCAGGTAACACCTGAGCTTCCTTCAGTCGTTCCGCACCCGCACTGATCCCTGCACCCCGCGTGGCTGAGCGAGTCAGGGGGCTCTGGAAACCCAAGGGAAAACAACCCCAGTCCTACTGCTAAAGAGGCTGAATCTCAGGGCCAGTTTCAGCAACGTCGTGTGTTCTTCCTACTGAGCACATAAACAACTGCTAAATTTTGTCAGCGAATAATTAGCGCACATTTCCCTCAAACGTCTCTTATTTCTCATCAATATTCGCCCACCAGGCCAGCCACCACACAGCAACCGCGCTTCGCAGCCTGTTGCCTGTTTCAGGGAAGAAAAGTACGCCAAACCCTGAACTACTTTTCATCAAATCCATTGCAAAGGCATTTCTTACAGCCAAACATCTTCCTGGGGAGTATTTCCTTGCAATGAACACTACTTACAATTTTTCATAGTTGCCTATTTTACACTCTGCCGAGAGACCTGCCTTACGCAGCAGTCAGGCTGGATCTTGCATGAAGTTTCCCTACCTGTAGGCAAGGTGACAGAAACCAAGAAGGGTCCGTGCCCAAGGACAGAGCCCGGGCACTGCTGAGCTCAGCCCGCGTGTCCCTCACCCCATTCCAGCACCAGTTCTAGCCACAGCCGCGCAGGCAGTGCCACTCCCTCCGAATAGAGGGAGCCATCAGCGCAGTCCCTCCGAATAGACGTGCCAAAAATTACTTGGTATCATGCTTCAAAATAGTTCTCCCAAGAATACACGCAGGAGCTGTCAAACCCCGTATCAGCCTCTCTACGCACATTCACTTTTTTGCAAACGGTGAAGAAGTCAAACTAAAATGCATACTCTTTTTATGGCTTGATGTTTTTCTATTTTTAAATGTGATTGCAGCAGTTAGTGAGCCTAAATTTCCTTCTTTGCTTAAATTCTTTAAGGGCACATTTCCTCCACACAAACCTGGTAAAATCAACTGAATAAGGCAAACCTGACTGACTCCGCAGTTCAGGGCAATATGAATGGAAGTTTAAAAGACAATGCAATTCAAAATGGTCATTTTGGGGGTAAATGAGCACAACTTTCCCCACGCTGATGTTTTGCAGGTGGTGTTACGTCCTAGGTGCTGCAGGAACATTACAAAATTATTTTTACAAATAATGAAAGAATCGGCATACTGTGAATTTTCAAGCTTTACAAGGCTTGTGTCTGAAAAGTAGTTTTTAATAAATTGCCGTATGAAAGACAGTAGTAGTATAAGAAGCATGAGCTTTACAATGATCTGTCAAATACTGCTTTGATCTTGACAGTAGCCTTGCGAAGATTTATTTTTCTTTGCATAGCAGCAGCATTCCCCACAGGCTGTTGATGCCGTGGCATTTACGCACTGATCTATTTTCTCTCTTTCGTAGGAGTTCCCCTTGGCAGTCATCCGGGGGCGGGAGTGCTACTGCGGGTACCCCACCGGCCGCTTCTCGCTGCATGACGGGGCGGACGGGCTGCTC